TAATGTTAAGATTTACATATTTTTTTTTATATATAAAACACAATCTTTATTTAAAGATTTAGTTGAGAATTCGTGGGGATGTAGCTTAAAACCAGAAGAAGAACATATGATAGGGTACAGAAGATAGGGTGGGGTAGGTAGGCTTGGTAGGGTAGGTATTCAAATGAATGGGAGCGAAGTCGCGGGTAAAAGCTAGTATACATATATTTTTAAAGTTAGTACTAATGTTTGCGCAATGGGTTCTAACCAAAACGGGATAAGACGCTTAAGATTTTAATTTTATTTTATTTTGATTAGTACAATGACAGAGTGCAGTCTAAAACAAGACAATTAGCTCAGTTATGACTACAAACGGTACAGTCCAATTATAACTGCACAGTGTACTACGCATTAAATATTAAACTTTAATAGTAGAGAAGAAACAAAATGGAGACGTTAATATTAATATTATTACTATTTATACAATCTTATTTAATATTTGGTGCTTAGAATCTGTCGGACTTTTGGCTCTAGTAGTAAGCATTTATGGATATGGGTTTTCAGTCACTCATTCTTTCTTGTTTCTCTGTTGTCGAGTTTTAAAAATACGTAGCGTTTGTATTCAAAATTTAACGTCTTATATAATACATGGCTATATCAGTTTATCCTTATTTAAGAGACTAAAATAATGTATTTTTATAAAAATGCAGTTTGTTAAAGATAGCAAGTTTGTATTAAGTTTCTTGTTCGCAAAGATCGTTGGCGTCAAACTTTCTTAGGTTAGCTTTTATCAAGTCACTTAACTTAGATCAACTTATGCACTTCATTTTGAAACCAATTTTGTATAGACTACAGTTCAAATTTCTTTGAACAGGTTATGTGTAATATACGCCAAGATGTGACACGGTAACATCTGAATCTTAAAATCTATTCTAAATATATTTTATATTACTTAATTTATTGTATTAATCTTATTGTTATGTAAATTCAGAAACTAAATAATTTTAAAAAAATATTGTGAATTTTAAAATAAAAATACAAATTATAGTCAGTTATCTACACTCCATTCTTACTGACCTTTTAGACATCACTCAACTAAAACGTCGGCACCGTAAATTAGTAACCAAACAAATGTTTTGCCCTCCTTACTAGTACATACCTTTTAAAAAACCGTAATAGCAAGCCTACTTCAGTTAATTTTCAACTGAATTTTAGTATGTGACGTGAAATTTCCAGTTGACACCTGCATCAGTTTTAGACAGATCCCTTGTCATATTGGCTTTGAGCTTCTTTGAGCGTGTGTCCGTCAAAGTGTTTGCTATGACAAAGGGACTTTCAAACTTGCAATGTTTTCAGCCGGAGTTGCGGGTCAAGCTCAATGAGGTCCCGCGACCTTGGCCTGGAGCAGGAAGAAGAACGGGGATGGTTTTAGTCAGTAAGTCTGAAGACATTTGACGATCTTTCCACCATCAAAAACAGCTTGCAATGATCAAAACGCGGCATCAAATTCTCTTATACATTTTCTTTGCCAAGGACAGCGCATCCACGCGCAGTGGTAGTCCATAAGTGGTTCTTAGTCTAAGTTATTTGACTACACGGTTGGCGCGGTGGCTGGGCTGGCTGCCGCGCAAAGTGTCGCGTGCTCGATTTCTGCACGGGACAACTCTTTGTGTTATCCACAAGTTGTTATTCCGGGTCTGGGTGTGATGTGTATGCGGAATCGTATGTTTGTAAACACACTCACGACACAGGAGAAAAACCAAATGTGAGGCATCGTTTTTTTTAAAACCATGTTTTTATATATATGTCATTAGGGAACTACAAAAGCCATGTTATGGGTAAGTACCTACCGTAAAATAAAATAAATTCAAACATCGATATTCTTACACGTGTTTCAATTATTTATTATAGTTAATTAAAGAGGCAGCCTGAACGCGTAATAATTAATTTGTATAACTTTTTACTTTAATCCTGAACTTTAGTTCAGCGAAATGTTAATTAGCATTTCACGGTATCGTCTGACCGCGTTTTAGTATAAACAAAATTTCCTCATTCTAGTTCGTTCAACGGATATTGAAATATTTAATTACTTTCATGATAAATAAAGCCTCATACAACCTAGTTAAGAATAATGGTAATCGATAATGCCAAGTGTTATAACAAAAGAAACAAATGAATTTAAAAAATATTTATTTCGTATTCTAAATTATATTTTTGCTGTTATACAATATCTATTTACTATTATCATACAGTCTAAAACTGTTTTCTGTCAGGGGTAAATCATCAAATGACTTCTTTCGCCCAGGGTTAGGCGAGAGAGAGAGTGTCAGACTCTTACTGACTAAAAACCCCCGTTCCTTCTCCTGCTCTGGGACGCGGCCGCGGTGACTCATTGCGCTTAACCCGCAACCCCGGCTGCACATCAGCCCTATAGGGCCCCGTCTGTGGTGGTCCATTGGCTATTCCAGGCGCGCGCGGAACGCTACGCGCCGTACGCTCGGGTTTGGTGCTGGTCGGGCGGCGAGCTACCCTTAATCACCGTCCGCAGACCCACGCTTATGGTGGCCGGAGATCATACCTCGATCCCCGATGCCCGGAATGTCGCCTACTGCGGCGGCTGGGGCGCGAGGAGGATAGTTCCCTCATACAGTCGAAAACTGGGGGAGACTATATTTACATTTACTGAATAAGTAAATATTAATTGTCGGCTTTACTATGGCACAATAGATTTTGCTTAAATTTTGCTGAAATAAGGAATTAAGTATTTTTTTTACAAAACTAGTTTCTGTTTGCCAAGTTATAAAAGTTTTTCGTTTAAGTTCAAACACGTTTCACAATGCGAAACATATATTTATAGTTATATAGTTAGGTCTACACCTGGCTAGCTCTAGTATCTAGAATTCTAATAAAAAGTAATAATAACAGCCATATACAAACCACATTGCCAAGTTTATAGTAATTTTATTTGTGCAGCGGTTGCTTCTAAGTTAAAAATGTAAGCTGCATTCGCTAGACGGTACCACATGGCCGGGGTAACCCCTTCAAATGCTCCACTGACCGGCAAAATGTTCAAGTCTGTTTATAGTTTACAACTAACAGCTTGCTCCAGCTTTACACAGGTGCTGTTCTACGCTAAATTTCATTTTTTTCCTGAGGATCACGATCATAATCATACATCATAATAATCCAATCCAGTAAATTTATATTATGTTCTTTCTAATTTGTAACCTAGCGCTTACTGCACCACAAGGTTGACTAGCAGGAAATGACTGCACCTATATACAAATTAATTATATATATACATATATAACTAGCTACTCCCGCGCGGTTTCACTCGCTGCTCGGCTCTATTTGATCGTAGCGTGATGTTTTATAGCCTATAGCACTCGGGAACATTGTAGTTATCAATAAGTGAAATAATTTTGGGAATCCGATCAGTGGTTTCAAAGATTACCCCCTACATACAAACATACAAATTTTACCTCTTTATAATAGTTAGATTATTGGTCCGCCAATTTGCAGTTTAGAATTATAGTTTAAATAAATAAACCTAGCTAACTATGTTAGAATATAGCGTTGCTATATACATACATAGGTAAGTATGTATTTACACGATTTTATCCCGTAAACTTAAGAGGCAAAATACAAGGTCCCATCTGCTAAGATGGAAATCTACTTATTTCTTTGGCATCTTCTAAGTTTGGACATCTGTTTACAATGCATCGGTACTATGTGTCGATGTCTGCTGTTTTTTATTCGCAATGGGTAGCTATGGATTTGTCTATTATCTCGCTTGGTGGTACGTTGGAGTACGTCTACCTATAAGCAAACTATGGCAGACGGATTAACTGATGGTAAGCAATCAGCACCCGTGGACACCTGGCAACAGAAGAGTTACGAGTGCGTTGCCGACCTTTTGGGGATCAGGGATTGGGGGAGAGGCAGGATTGGGCTTCCAGTAACATCACTCACACGTCAAAACACAACGCTGTTGTTGTTTCACGGCGGTTTTCTGTGAGGCCGTGGTATCCCTCCGATCGAGCCGACCCATTCGTGCCGAAGCCTGACTCCCCTACACTTATAAATATTTATGTTTGTTTAAATAAAAGCTTAGATAGACTGTGATGTTGCCTAATAGAAATCAATGATGCAACCTACGTTGAAGAAGCAAGCAAACTATGGTTTGCTTACTTGCAGTACAGGTAGACATACTTCATACAATCTCATAAGATTGTTGAGCTTTTTATAGTGTAATAAGAAATAAAACAAAACAAGAATTTAGCGTTGTCGGTAAATATTAAAATACAATTTTTATGATTAAAAACTTTGATAGTACTGTAAAGATATTAAAATTGTCTAGACAGTTAGATGGCCTAGATCCGTTTTAATTATTAAATCAAAGTGTGCTTGTCTACGAGAAGAAAACGGAGATAAATTAATAAGAATAATTGAACAATGAAAGGGGTATACTAATTGTTTTCTATAGATTAGCTACATAGTTGTATGGGATAACACAAAGGAGTTGTAGAATTTGTAACGAAGAAGGTATGTCTCTTCAATATCTTCCAAAAATCGCAAGATGGTGGCAAAAAGTCCTCTTTATGGAAAACAAGGCTCCCTAACGATAATTGCCGATCTTGTAAAAATCATTATCATCATCATCATCATCAGCCTATAAGTGCCCACTGCTGAGAAAAGGCCTCTCCTCATACGGAGAAGGTTTGAGCATTAATTACCACGCTTGTTCAAGGCGGATTGGTGATTTCAAACTTATAACTAGAAATTATAAGTACAGGTTTCCTTACGATGTTTTCCTTCACCGTATGTCAGTGGAGTCTATACAAATCATAGAAGGTACATATGAGTCGGAAAAAGTCACATGTGTACTTGCCAGGTTTCGAACCCGCACCCTCATGCATGAGAAGCGGGCACCTTAAAGTCTGGGCCACCACGACACTCAAAAACTAAAAATCATTATACATATAGAAAATATGTACTTTTGAATTAAAAGTGTAACTTACTTGTTCAACAGATCCATATTGCCTCCTGGAGAATACGCCTCGCCTTGAGATGAGCTCGCTAGCCGATGATCTGTGGACAACAACAAAATAAAGTTTAAATAACATAAACATCAATGAATGAAACCACATTAAATACAATTCCCATTTATTTATTTATATTTATTTATATATTCTTTATTGCACACAACATTAAAATTTAATACAAAGAGCAGGCTAACAATCACAGAGTGTACAATGGGCGGTCTTATCACTCACGGTGATTTCTTCCAGACAACCTTTAATTGTGAATTTTAACAAAAATCTACAATACTTTCTTAAAAAATATACCCAACATAGGCAATACTTAGAAATATAGTAAGTATAGTCATCATAAAAGGGCCATTTTTGCTTAAAAATTCTAGACAGTTGCTATAAAAAGAGTGGATTTTTTTTAATCTTTAAGAAGATATAGCTTTTTCTAAAAGACTATTAAATACCACAACCAAGTCTCATTCAATATATTAAAATACAAACAAATATACGAATTCAAAACACACCTATATCTATGTAAAGCTACGTAGTAGGTAGGTAGTACGTATATTAATTAACAATCCATCAAAATTGACAGGATCGATTGGAGACACGAGACAGCGAAACAAATGAATGACGTAATACAGACGATATAGTTGTTATATTCATTAAAAATACATCAATTACATCGCACCTTTATTCCCTGAAGGGTTTACTAGGTTAAAGGTGGGCAGATATAGTCATCACCATCACCAGCCTAAAAGTGCCCACTGCTGAGCAAAGGCCTCTCCTCACAAGGAGAAGGTTTGAGCATTAATCACGACGCTTGCTCAGGGCGCACTGATTTCAAACATTAATAGAAATTATAAGGTTATGTTTTATTTAGTCACAATGTTTTCCTTCATCGTTTATAAAAATATATTTATATAAACAATATCAATAAAGTTTGAATATCGCTTCATCACGCATCATTCAAGTAATTAGGTAATAATTTAATTCAAATAAAGAAAAATAAAGCAAACATTAGCAGTTGTATCAAAATAGCTCAGTATATCCTTAAGTAAAGTAAAAACGTTGCAACCCGTTGCAACCAAAAAGTACAACCTTACTTTATCTAAATCCAAGTATTGTACAAAGGAATTGCATTAAAACTTTACCGAAATCGTCGTTTTAACTTTGCAAATAACGTCGGTTTAGATAACGTGGAATTGCAGAGTGCATGCCGTGCAAATTTTTCACTGTTACAAACGTTTTGGATTTTCACAGCTTTGCAAATTTTTTGCACCGTCGAAACTTGAAATATCGTTCTTTAACTGCAAAGTTTTCCTAAAATATGTATAAATAATATTTGAAATAGAAACGTATAAGTTTGTAAACTTATCAATAAGTTTTTAGATGTTTTGGTAATCGGTGTAATCTAATGTGGATTACATCAAAACAGATTTGACGTAAACCTTTCTGGTGGTATACAGCTTAGATAGTCATCAACTTTATTTACATGTCAAAGTTTAATTTATTATTCCTTCTAACGACATCATAGTAGTATCGTACCTCCACAAAGAGGCTAAAGCTTGATACATGAACACGAGAAAAATAAAATGTTTTCTAGATAACTACTGAAGTAGCACCAAAGAGTAATTTATTCTAATCCATTCCACGCGGACCGAGTTGTCCAATAGTTCGACATCACAAAGTTCAAGCGATGAACCTTACGAAGACGCCAGTAGATACCATCAGTCAGATTTAGAGCTCCAATTAACTCGAACACACTTCGAAAGCTAGTTTCCTGCGAGATAATTGCAATCCAGATCCATCAGACAAGTTTAACACGCATCGCAAAAGGTCAGATGTTTATTCAATTTATTGTATTTCCGAAGTTAGAAGTTTGATCGTGACCTTTGACGATTATTTTGCGGATGTATATGCAAGGGAATGGAGGTCGAGTGTCCAGGAGATGCGGGCGTCTGATTTGATTTGATTGATCGACCGTTCCGCATACCTGACATAGAGCAGCCGAAAGGCCAAGCGAAACGGACCTTGAAAAGCGAAATCTCATTCTTGGAAAAACTGTTTCACATTTTCTTTGAAAATCAATTGGTTGGAGTTCTTAGAATTATTAGCTTTTGGAATTAAAGCGTGTGGTCAAATTGTGTTTTACTGAATTAATTGTAGATTGTTCCGTGAAATTTATGTACAGTTTTGTTTATATAGAGGGTCAGCTTTAGAATAAATCGAAATGAAATGAACTTGCAGTACGAAATTTTCACATACTCATGCAAAGTATTTGTGGCATGTACTGGCTTACTCTTTATCACAATATTTACGTGCAACAAATAACAAGTGAAAAGTGTTTTTCTATACAAACCTCATATGAATGTCAAGTTTCGTATAAAATGTTACCTAACTTCATTATTTGAGAACCTACTGTATTCCGTAGCAATAAAATCGGTTTTCGTAGTTTAAGGACCGTTTGAGATGTACCGTTGGGTTATCTGTACACTGTCTATATTGGAAGCTGTCAAAGTAACTTATTCTTTAGCACCGTTTTACTTGGAGCCTCGTTTCAGTATTTATTCTGGCTAGGCGAGCTATTATTATGTGTCTAGGGCGTTTGAAAGTCATTCACCTTTTAAAGTTGCGCAGTGGGTGATGTAACATTGAAATTCAGTCTACATACTTTTGAAATATTTTTGTTATGGTACGACTTTTGTATTTTATTATGAGGTTGGTGTTTTGCACGGGTGGTATCCGTTAAGGCTGGCAACAAATAACATGGTACTTTTTTTAATTTTCGAACAAATATTACGAATAAAAAATCACTCCCTCTCTAATTATTCATTGACATTGTTGAAATCGATTTTTTATACTGAAACGCAATTGTAAGTCCTAGTAATTACTTATTACTTTTCTTGAGATTTAAGCAGTATGAATTTAGTAAAAAGTTCATTGACCTTAAGATTAACTACTTTAAATAAAGCCAATTAATTTCAGATGCTGGCATTTAAGGATAAAAAATGGACCAATTATTCGCCTCTGTTACTCGTATAATAGAAAATTTGTTATTATAAGAAACCTGGAATTTTCCTTTAATTGTCTGTCGTGTTCATGCGTGTAAGTACGAACTTGTATTTTTGAATTATTTTTTGGAATAATAAAACACCAATAAGAAACCTTTTCTTACTCCATGCTACAGTCTGTCTGAAAGTCTGTAAATCTTCAAAAAGAGTCAAAGGTCAGTAAAAATAGAGTACTAAATCATGGTACAATAAAAAGTAGGAAGTCTACAGATAAGAAGATTAAGTACTTTCCGTTGAAACAATAAAAGCTAAAGCCCTCACTTCTTTTACGCATAGCATAATAGCTAGGAATCCGATGTTAAAAAGGGGGCACATTTTAGTTAAAAATTTAGCCTTAGTGCTTTCGCTTATGGATAGTCTTAATTACCCATTGTTAAAGCGAACTGCACTTCTATAGTCAGAATTTTAATTCGATTCCTGATTTGACATGACCTACTGTCATTTTGTGCAAAAATAATACCACATATAACAGTGTAGCGATGAACACAAAAATCGATAAACAATCAGTGAATTAGTTTCAGGAAGGCATTCAAAAAATTACGGCTACCGAAGGGTCTAAATGCGTATCCCATGTTGTCAAAGAAGAGGAAAAAATTAGTAAGCTAGATATGTTAATTGACAATAAAAATCATAGACACAATTCATTATTTAAGTTACATACTTCAAAATGTAACCTTGTATTTGTCATACACATGTGTTGGGAGCTTGATATCTACACACACAACAATAGATAATATAATTCAGACAAATACCTAATACATTACAGTTTATTATAGGCTATAAAAATAAAGACTACATTTGCATAAAGCGATGGAGGATAAATATGACGGTAATATCTGCATAAGTGAATAACGTACAGATTTATATACGGACATATGTTTATTTATTCAGAGTGATATGACAGTCGTATCACGTCCATGAAGTATGTGGTTAAGGGGATTTCTTGTTATCTGTCGAAGTACTTGAGACTTCATGGATAAATTCTTTATTAAAAAGTGAGGGACATTTTCTCATTTAAAGTTAGGTCATTTAAAAAAAAATATCACAAGAACTATCATTATCTCTCCATAGCAACTTTGTCAACGGTGCATTTATTTCATGTATGTCCTATTTTCGTTTGACAAGCACTTTTCAACCAGTTAACATACGCAGTTCGAAATGAAAACACACTTGGTACGAACATGGAAAGGTCTTGCCAATATACCTGTCATTACATTTTCCACAAGTTTACAGTTAACAGCAAAGCAAAGTTAAAACATATAAGTTGAACTTATTGAACAGAACTGGTGACAACTTCTTGATGTTATAACTCGCTGCAATAGATATCAAGTTCGGAGTTCCGAAGTAAATAATGGAGTTCGTGGGACAAACTTTTTACTGACTTTCCCGGGCGCGTTAAAGTGAAAGCGAAAACTCTGCAAAGAGCACACTGACAGGAGTATTCTTAAAAAGCGAATGGTGCATCAAAGGAAGGTTGAAAAGGGCAAAGTGTCAAGCGTACTTTAGAACTGCATTTATTAACGTTGGAGCGTTAGTGTCATGTCGAGAACTTTTGAGAATAGTGGTTTGAATTTGTCAGCATACTCTTACAGAAAATCAAGCACTTTATTTTGGGAGTAGTCTGAGATCAATAGGTATCACGAAGAGGGTTTTTTGTTATGTTATTCCTTTTGGAACAATTGGGGCTCATGGGGCATTGAGGTCCATTTTTCAAACCCCTAAACCCCCAACAGGCCGATAACACATGTATAACTCTGTGTTGTGAGCGTACATAAGCATTCCTGCATTCTACGTGCTCATTGTAGAATAATAGAATACGATAGAATAACAGAATATCATTTATTTCATAAAACATCGTGCAGATTTGATGCCTTATTCCATAAAAAATGTAACACTCGCCCACTTATGTTACCTGGGGAATTGCCTAAGTTTATAACATAAAATAGCTTAAGTACCTATAACAGCATAATTAAAAATTCGTACA